GTGACTAAACACAGTAGGCCAAGCTAAATAATCTCAGCATTCATAATAACTTGGGAAAGATCAAGTGAATTAGTTCCTATGGTAACCTTGACATCTATCATCCAACTTCTCAGTCTTGATAACAAAACACTCCGTGGTTAATTTGGGAAAACCAGAACGAGTTGGTAGTGTAGGGAAGTTGGAGAAATCCATTTATTATAGTGAGTTACTTTACTGTATATTAAACGGTTTACGTGGAAGACGCACGAGTATTTTTAAGTGGGGTATCTCTTGAAGCCGAGTATATAAAACGTGTCAATTTGTCACTGCTCATATCTTTGTTCATCCTTGGAAAACACTGTGGCGGGCGGGGCAAGCTTGACTCAGCCATGCACAGCAACTGTTAGTGGAGGCCGATTATTTCTAATTTTTTTTTCATTCATGATAATTTATTACTTTTTTATCTTAATGTATTTATGGATGATGACGTAAAGTTGTAAGGGGCTTTGAATGACCATTGTTTATTGGTTCAGAGGGAGGGGAGACGTGCAGGGGGCGAGGGAGAGTGAGGGGAGACGGGTGGTGCCTGGCAAGTTGGCACCCGCGTCATTAAGAGTCTGGCCCAGCTCCCCTCAGGGCCACCACAGTGTACGTCAGGCCCCCGTCCCAGTACCCACGAGGATGTCGACTTAGTTACAAAGAGTCGCTCTGCCTTTATCAACACCAGTTGTTCACAGCGACATTACTGAAAGTTGAGATAGTTGACAGTGACGTTGTGTAACGCAAGTGCTTATATAACGAGTGTTTTGAAGGTGCAGTAATTTGTTGTGTTGCATAATAGTTTTAAGTGAATAAGTGCTGAAGAATAAACATAATTATAAACAAAGTGTACGATAAGCATCCCACTTTTGGTACATGGTAGTGTTCGACCTATCAATCTGAGAAATTAAGTGTAACGGTTATGATATTCTGTGAGTTCGGTCATGCCTGTGAAGCTCCCGACCAAAGTGAGGGTAAAATTGTCAAGTAATTGGGGCATTGTTACCGCGCATAATATATTCTTGTGTGGAAATTAGTGTTGAAGTGCTCCAAAGTGCCCAGTTGTATTGGATAATTAAAATGATGAAAAATTAACTTAATATATCTAATTGTATGAATGTAGGACATAATTTTCTGTTCTGCAGTGGCGACAGCTAAAATAAACCCGAGGAAGATTATAATATTTACATATTGATATACACTGTAAGACTTTGGTATTTATAAACATTAAGACCTGTGTAATACTGTAGTCAAGAGGGATGTAGCTTTTTTAAGTAGATTGTGATATAATGGAGAAAAATAGTGATGCCTTTTATAACAGGTCACCGGATTTTATTATGTATTTTGTCTTGGAGATCAAATAAAAATACTGTGATTCTGGTGTTGCCAGCATCCATAGTAGTAGTATTGTGATGGTAAACACAGTGGTGTTCGCTCCGAGCCCATCTGGTTACGTCGACTAGTGATGGGGAAGCTGGCACGGTTCTGGGCAACCGCACACAAAAACGTAAATAAAAATAGTGGACTAGTCCCATTTACGATAGTTAACTGTTAGAGATTATTAGACATTACGGTACGCCCCAGCTAACTTTACAATTAATATTTTAATTAAATCCGTGCGCTGTGGGAATGGGTTGGTTTCATGTGAGTAAGCAGATAAGTCCTACTAAATAAATTATAAACCGTGAGTGGTGTTAGTGAGGGAGGGAAGGGGCCGCGTGTGGAGTAATTTTGTTTGTTGGTGCCAAGCTCTGTGTGAAGTGGTGCTCATAGGTGTCAAACTTAATATCATGCTTTCACACTTGTGCGAGATATTAATTTGTCCTACTTATCCCCATTAACACAGATAGTTAGAGCATGTCCTTTGAGTTCATGTGAATAAGTGAGGAGAGTTGTACAGTATATGCAGGAGGGAAACGATACGCGTTCTCAGCGGCACGAGTGTGGGCGAGACAGTCTGAGAGATGATTGCGTTGCGCGGATACTTGAAGTAAATTCTTGAGTGGAGTCTCCTGTTTCAGGCTGTGTGGCGCTCATGGTGTTTGCATGTCCTGTGCTGGCAAGTTATGATACCAAGTACTCGGTTTTGTCTTTCAAATGCCCTCACAGTTGTCATTTATTTATTATATAGGAGATTTGTATTAGTTTATCCAATTTTCCTCAAGTAGGGATGATGACAGGCAGGCAGGCCTCTCTACGCTCTCCCGGATCTGTTCAGGCAGAGCTCGCAGATACTGCGGGCGTATGCATCCTTTTAACAGATACATACACATGAACTGGAGTGAGCTAGTTCGAGAACGTGATCTTCGTGGGAGGTGTAGGGTAACGCTAACGTGCTGATCATGATCCTTGCATTCATGAGCAAAGAGTTCGCATGTAAGCACTTGCTGCAGTTAGGCATGTCTATTTTGACCAGCTAATTTAATGTATTTTACTGTTTTATAATATGAGACAAAAAAAATCTTAGACCGCACCAGACAAACTAACGTGATGTAAATTATCGAAAGTGTTATTGAAGTAAAAGCTTTATAACTCTAAAAATGGTGTGTGTGAGGTTATGATTTTGATAATTGCAGCATTTGCATATTTATGTATGAATAGAACTTTATTTTGCACTGTTGTCTAGTGCAGACTGCCATGAAGGGATGCTTTCAAGCTGTCAACAAGACCCAGATTGTCAAGGATGTTATCGTGCCCAGCCCTTGGTCTGCAACATGTGTTAACCTCATTTAAAACATTCATGGTTGTAAATTCGGATGATTGATACCAGTTTTAAATTTATTTATTTATTCATTCATTCAGTTGTGTTCATGCTAATATTAGTTTCATTTCCAAGGGCAAAGAGTAGCCTATACAACTCAAAGCAAGAAAGATGTATTTCACGAAATTTTTAATGGTAATTGTGAAGTTTACGAACTGTCTTAGGTATGTGCACAGAAGGCCTTAGCTGTTAAAGTAACCGAATTCAGTTGCATAAAATCAAAGACACCGTGAACAAAAAACTGCTTAGAACTCAAAGGTCGTTGTGTGCATGGGTCCAAGATGAGCACTCTAGTTAACATGGGCATAAACATGAGGTCTTGTCTGCGGGGAGTTGCACCACAGAGAGCCATTCAAAGTCAGAAACAGAGCCACCTCTGCTGGATATATCTTCATATCATGGTTGATGGGGTGGCACCAGAATGTAATAGATCTTAAACCAGGTCACTGAGCTCTCATGGTGAAACGAAAGGTCATTTGGGAATGGAAGGAGGATTGTGTAGGGGTGGGGTGTATGTGTTGACACGCGAGAGTTGAGGGGAATGGGGTTGTAAATTTTAGTGTTGAATTGGTAAATAGGCTACAGGGATTAGCTAATTCAGCTGGTGGATGGCCTACAACGGTTTAATAGGACAGTGGTGATGAATAAACTATAAGATTTAATAGGACTGGTGGATAGCCTTCAAGGTTTAATGGGAAAGTCTTCAAGGTTTAATGGGATAGTGGTGGTGGATAGTCTTCAAGGTTTAATGGGACAGTGGTGAACAAGCTACTGGGTTCAGTTGTTAAAAGACTCCAGTCTAACCAAACTCAACATAAGGAGCTGGGTTTGGGGGGGCACTGTTTAGATATAGCAGGCAAGGTCAGGTAGTGGGAAGGGAACTGTACCCATGTGTGTTCATCTTTGCATATAGTCAGTGTAGTTGCTTAATGTACCAGTATCTATTTAATATTTAATTATAGAATATAACTGATGTAAGATGTATTCTGGTATACCTAGAGTAAACAGTGAACCATTGCATTTTGAATTTATTTTTGCAAAGTGGTTTAAGTTTGTAACTAAAGCATGCAGACGTTTTTTCTTCAAATATCAGTGATGTAATGTCATTCCTTGTTTTTAAAATTATTATGTGAAGTCTGTGGTGTTATATGGAGCTATGAATGAAATACTGTACAGAAATGAGTGCAAGTGAGAAATGAGTGTGGCAGCTGTCTCATGGGAAAGAGCAGCCAAGCCCCCCAAAATGAGTACTGAGGAAGGGGTGAGCAAGGACCCAATGCGGGACTCTTTGATGAGCAGCAGCAGTAGTGATGAGTTTTCCGATGATGAAGACAACGAGAACAATAACACCCCCATCCCAGAGAGTTTTGTCGAGAACAACTTAGATTTAGAGTTTGACCTGTGGCAGGGTCAGTTTGAGATAACCAAGCCCAGGTACAGCAATGGCCACGCCTTCTACAAAGACATCGTTAAAACGGTAGGTAATTGATCATATTTCTCCACCTTTAAACGTAACTATTATGGGACATTTCAGGCTAAAATACATTGAGGGACTACAGCTCATTGTTATTAAGGGAAGTAGTATAAAGAGCTATGCTCTTTTTTTGCACGAGGTTTCAAAGGTACTTGAGAAGGCGTTGATGTTTTGGCGAGTTTGCTTTGACGTAGATAAATTATAATGTACCGGTAGCTGTGAACAATTTTATACCGTTTTTCATCCACACCTACAAAAGCATGGTTTAAGGGTTGTGTGGCTGCTGCATGTTTTGTTCTTTTCAAAATGTTTATAAGGAGTGATGTAGTAATGATGTAGAAATTTAGATACTAATGTTTATGATTGAATGTTGTACTTGTGATGTATGATTTTTAATAAATATATAACCCATTAGCTACATAAAACCCTATATAACAAAGTGAATTGTGTAACCAAGAAATAAAAAAAAAATTATTACGTTTGTTCCCAATACCTGTAAAAGTTGTACTAAAATTTATAACGAAAGTAAAAAAATACAAAATATAAGTAAAAAAAAACAAAGTATACACAACAGGAACTTGCTTCACTTTTTTAATGACATGACAGGAAATCCATTTGATACCTAACCTGGTGCATTACAGTATTTTATTTATATCCTCAGATAAAATTGTGTATTGTACAGTATTGTTTTTTTTTAGATGACAAACCCTTTTGTCTTAATGTACAGTGTTGCTTATTTGTCCACAGGTACAAATGTTGCAGCAGCAAGTAGGAGTTTTAGCAGAGAATCAGGTGAACTCAGATGACAGGTTCTCCCGAGTGAAGCAGGACAATGCTGCCTACCATGAAAGGTGGGTCGCTTGTTGTTGGTTAATGTAAATGTTGGGAAACTTAAGATTGATGGTGCCCTGTTTACCATCTGTAGCTGTGTAGAGATTCATGAACACACTTCTTTTGATATTGATGCTTCACATTACAAATTTGTCCTCTGCTGTGTTAATGTTTTCCATCCTTTTCAAGATTTAAAATGTGTCTTAAGGCCCTCAGTCTACTTACATAATCCGGATGATACAGTTGATCACATGTCGTTTTAACTGTTTGCAGCACTCTGAAGATGGTACAGTATAGTGGAAATTGCAGTATTTTTTAAATACAGGGCAGTACAGTCTTACAGATACTGCACTGTACATAAAATTTAAAGGTGAACATATTAAGATGTACTTTGATGATCCTTTGAAAATTTATTATCTATTGAAATGTGATCACACGGTTCTTTAACATATACAGTACAGTATTTGGTCTTATGTACACCAGAAGAAGTTAATAATGTGGGACAAGTATCAGTGTTACTGCCTAAATACAGTACAGTATCCTGAAATACGTACCGTACAGTACACTGTAGTACTGTATGCAGTATTCAAATATTTTGGTAAAGTTGAAGGAATAATTATATTGTAAAGTGCAGTTAGGTTTATAGTAACATTTAGTCATTCAGGTAAGTACTGTATATATCCAGTAAATATTTATAGCAGTTTTAACTAATTCATTGTTTACAGAGTGGTGATGCTGGAGGAACAGCTGCGCGAGACAGAGCTGCGGCACGAGGATAGACATGCAGAGGAACAGCGCAGGAACAGAGAGCTCATAACCCGAATTGAACGAGAAAAAGAACTTATTATAGAAAACATTTCCATTAAGTGAGTAGATGTACAGTCACCTCCAGGTGTGATATTTTGCCCTACCGTACCTCCCTAGCTCCTGTGGCACCGTTGGATGCAATACTTATTACCAAACGAACCTTTTCCTCGCTAACAAAATGAATTTCCATATCCATTTAGGTTTGACAATAATCTGCTTAATAAACTAGAGAGAGGATCAGAATTATTAAAAAAAATATATATACAGTTTGGAGAGTGTTTGGTACTGTACTTTGAAATACAAAGTTTGAACAAAACATGATACCTCGAGAACACATTGAAAAGAAAAATTTATTGCATTAAAATTGTGAACACGAGACAAATTCATGAACACCAAGAATTATGGTCCTCCCTGTATTATGATAAGTAAGAATCACTAGAAGCTATGATTAAATATTTTAATGTATTTTGTCTGTATTTTTTAGGTTGACAAGTGTAGAAAAGGATAATACTGCGATAGATAATGAATGTAAACGCTTCAAGTCACAGGTTGAGAAGTTACAGAAAGACAAGGAGTTACTGGAAGATTGGGCATCTGAGGCAGAGTTCTCGGCTTCTGCTCTGCATCAGGAGAATTCAAAGTTAGCAGAACTATCCAGGAGAGAGAAAGAAGAAATGAAAGTGGAGAGAGAAAGAAGTGCACAGGTGAGAAGTTTGCATTGGTTTGTGAAACAGATACTGTACATACTTATTTATTTAGCAAAATTTTCAAACTAGTTCACATTGGTTTAGCATGCAAATAGACAGTGTTTGTGTGTATACAAATATATATATAATAGGGTGTCTGGTGTTTATAAATGTCATTAAACATATGTAAAATATTAATATGCTTGGGAAATTTATGACTGCCCTGGGAGCCCATAAACATTTGATAGGAGGGTTCATTGGTGATGCTCTCTCTACACCTCACCCAACACAGTATAGCATTGCCTCAGTTCAGACAGTTAAGCCTCTGGACACAAGGAAATGCAGTACTGTACTGTACTGTGTTATTAAAAACCTTTATATATTTACATCATAAACAGATAAATTGTGAATAGTTATGATTGGGTATATATATACATTTTTATTGATGGTGTACAATGGAATGTCAAGAACATGTACATTAGTACTTTAATTTTATTTTAGTAATATTTGAATTTTTTCTGATATTTATAAAATATCAGTCGGTGAGAAATTGAACTAGATCCCCGGCCTGCAGAAACCAGAGAAGCAGTTCACACTTCTACTCAAAAACTTTGCCCTGTCCCATTATAAACTTTATACTAATTAGGCTCATAGTGTAGTTCACTCAAAACCCACATGCAACCGCTTGTCAGTGTTTCACAGAACAGGTAACCAGATGAAAACCACATTGTAAATGCTCCAGTTTTCCTTCACTGGTTTAACTTTTTGACATTCTTGTTTCCCACATATAAAATCACATTCATATTTATGACCACTGCTGTGTGATCTTTATAAGTTCTGTTGTTTAACTGTGGAACTGCATCATCGTGATATGTCCTTCACCCATGTCCTCACTTCACTCGTTCAGTCTCGTTAAATTCCTTTCTCTTTTGGAACAGTTTCTATGCATTTCATACAGATATATATTCTAATGTTTAAAAAATTATCAACAGGTGATAGAAGAACTGCGTTGTGAAATAGAGCGGCTGAGAACAGCGGAGGAGACAGCGAGGAAGCGGTCACCAAGTGTGGACCCTCAAACAACACAATCTGCAGAGCTACAAGCTACTATTAGGCAATTAAGAGAGGAGAATAAAAGTAAGTTGGGTCAGGTTTGAGACATATTGTGTTGGAAATCGGCTTTAGGCTCAAATTGTGTCGTGGATTTGAAACTCGTTATAACTAACGAGGAGGGTATGGTGGCCAAGCTGGAACACCTAACCCCTGTTGGCATGAGTCACCATGTAACACTGTCCTGAAGATTTAACTATTACTTGGTTCATGACAAAAGTAGGCCAAGGTTCAAATATTACAAGGGCTGAATATAGTAGCCAGTAAAGAGACCCATTTGATCGACGACTATATACCCAAGACCAAACCCAGTACTTTCAGGAATACAAGAAGACTATTACACATGACCGCAAGCAGTGTGTGGTGATTAATAGCATGAAATCGTCTTGTGTATCCATGACAAGTGAGGTACCACAGCAGTGTACCGGGCCCATTGTTGATTTTTTTTTTTTTTCCCATAAATGACATGCCAAAGGCTATACCATACAATTGTTTGCAGATGATGCCAAGTTATTCAGGGAAATTAAGAATCAAACAGACTGTGAAGAGCTACAGAAAGATTTCGGTCAGCTTCAAAATCAATCGAAGAAATGGCTGCTAAAATTAAATGTCACAAAGTGTAAGAGGATGTACGTAGGTCATACCAACAGTAAGGAGGCGTATCACATGTCCCAACGGGATGAAGAAACAGCATTAATAGAGACCAACTGTGAAAAGGACCTGGGTATGTATTTTGACAATGAACTGAAGTTCTCGGGCCATTGTGAGAAGAAGGTAAATCAAGCGACTGAACTAGCAGGTCTTATGAGAAGGTCGTTCGGATATCTAGGCAGTCCATCCCTCGTAACGATCTACAAAAGCGAAGTGCTGCTGTGTTTGGAGTACTGTACTGTCACCCCGTCTAGTCTCCGAGATATGCTAGTGACTGTCAATGGATTGAAAATGTCCAAAGGAGGGCCACCAGACTGGTGCCTGCACTTCGGCACCTCGTTTATCCAGAGAGATTAGAGTGCCTGCAACTGCCTAGCTTATACTACAGAAGGGCAAGGGGTCACAGCTCAAGGTTGAAGAAGCCACAAGTCCAGAAAACTGTGAGGGCAAACTTTTTCAGAGTGAGAATTGTGAACTCTTGGAGCAACCTGCCATAGTGTGTTGACAGCACCAGTGTGAGATCTTTCAAGGCCAGACTTGACCAACATTGGAGCAGGTACTGATACATTCAGGAGCCAGTACATGCCCAGTACTTGCCAACAGTGCACAAGAGACGTGACTGACCACCCAAGTGGGTAACAAGCCAATCAGTGGCAAAGAGGATAAGGGAAAAAAGGAAAATTGACTAATATTAAAGTACAGTACAGTATTCTTATGATAGATGATTCGTTAATTTTTTGCTCTCATAGTGATTCATAATCAATTTTTTTTTTAAAGAAAATATATTTTTTTTATTATTTGAACCTTGCTGTCAGGATGGCAATTTGTAAAAGCCAAGACTAATAGTGAATTGAAAATTTTTCCTTCTGTTTCACATTTGGTTAGGGATAATACAAACGTACTGTATATATGTTTTGTGGTGTTTTATTCACTGCCCTCATTTTAATGATAAAATAATTCGTGTAATATTAACATGTTTGATTATTTTCAGACCTAGTTGAGCAAGTAGAAGACCTCCAAGCACAACTGTTGACGACACGACTGGAAGAAGGACGCACACTTGTCACAGCAACAAACAACAACTCGTTGGCTGCAGAGTTTGAGGCAATGACTAGTGAAGAGGTAAGTTGCCCACATTGACATACAACAGTAAATAATTAAGTCAGATGTGAGATTTTGCTGCACTTTTATTACTAAAGATATTCATGGTACTGTATATTGAATATTACAGTGACTTATAAATTTAATTAACCGACAAAAGACAAATTTATACGATACAGTACTTACTATTGTAGAGGTTAAATAGTGTCTGAAAATTCACAATAGAATACTATAAGGAATGTTTTCTTTAGCTGAAAAAGATGTGATGTTATCTTCTAAAGTAGTTCTATAAAGTGTACCTCTTTCTAGCATTGTGAAAACTTTTTGTCAGTGATGTACATTTCAGTAGTTGGTAATGTTTTTTGTTTTGCTTAAAATTCAGTGACTTTGTGGGGCTGTATGAAGTATTGTCTTTGCTTTGGTCTTGTGTTACTTGCATAATTATTATATTTGCATTATTATCATGTAGAAAGATAATTCAATATCATTACAAAAATTGGATAGAGCCATATTACCAAGACTGAAAATTAGTAAATAATAAATTAACTTTTCTCACACACCCGTTAAAGCAGCATTTGCATGGGAGAGCTGTAAGGCGTCTTAAAAAAAATGTACACAGTACATGCGGTCTTGCAGCTTTTCTTGACAATTGGGTGAATACTTGGATTACAACAGCAACATGTCCTTGCTTGTTGATGTGTGAGGTCTCCCAGAATGTTGAGGGAGACCACACACATCATCAAGTGAGGACAATGTTGCTGCTGTAATAAAAGCATTCACTTGATTATTAAATAAAATCTGTCAGGCAGCATGAACAGTATACAGTACTATACATTGTTTTGAGACACCCTGTACTCTTCCATTGATGTAACTTAGATAACATTTACATTACAGTCCATATGGTGGTGTAAATCACAGCCTTGGTAACCTAGACTTTGCTTCTAAGATTTATGTTTTCATTGTCGCCTGTACTTTATTCTTTTCTTGCTTCCTTACTGCTGCCTTTCCACTCAATTTATTCTCAATCTAATCTTTCAGTTACTTGGAAAAATATCGATTAACTTTTGTAAACAAAAGGTTAAGGATCGCTGTCCTTACATTTATTCTTCTTTATACAGGACTGTACTTGTAATACTCTTACATCTTTCACCTCCAGCTTACAGTCTGGGGAGCATCACTAGAGCCCATTTATGTTCACCTTGAAGTCTTATTTGAAATATAGTACAGTATGCTATTATAACTTTTCACTTACACTGCTTACTTTAACTTGGGCATTTTAGGTGATTGTAGATGTAAAAATTAAATAACAGAAGCTTTAAAATATACGTAGATTACAATTGAATATGAACCTGTTGTAATTCATCATTGGACAATGATAGCTACAACAAAGTATTTATAAAAGATCGATCGCCTGCATGGCTAGTAAGCCGATAAGTGATGAATAACATAAATAATGAAAATAGAATGGTTGAGTGCATCAGTATATCACACCAAATAAATTTAATACAGTACTGATGTACACAAGTGATGTGTATCTAATTATAACCAGTAAAGGAGAACATGTATCATAGAAAAATTACTGTTAATTAAACAGTGTTAAGTTCTTCAACAGTTAAAATTTAAAATATGAAATAATGCATTTTAGATTTTCTTGAGGTGGGAAGATATTTTTTGGGCGAGTCTTTTATTAATGTCATTTCTTAAAATTTTATTCACAAACTCTGATTGGCAAATACTGAGTTACCTCTTATATAGAGCATTGTAACACCACATGCAACTTCAGACTGATATTGTGACAAATTAAGTCTAGTCTGGTAAATTTTTATAGGAAAATTATTTTAAATGTAATTAAGTGTAAACATGAGATTGGTAGAAAGTGGGCATCCTCTTTCTCCTTCTCTCCATCCTTACTCCGTTTTGATTACACGGAGAAAAAGCGGCTGACTATTAGGGGAGGGGAACTTTTCCTTATGGCATATGTTATTAGCAGTAAAAGCAGGTGCCCGAGAAAGCATTGTGCAACGAGAAATATTTAATTGTCACCTAGAGAATTAGTTTTCTCCATTTTTCTTTCTTTTCATAACATAATACAATCATACCAGATTACATCTTCATTGTCTGCTACAGTTATGAGTCCTAGTTCAGTTACACTGTTCTTTAAAATTCTTTCTATTCATCTATCTCCTGTTCTATATTATATTACTCCCTCCTACCTGCTTAGATTTTCTCATTAGATCAAGACAGTCGTTTCCTTACCAAATTTTAATATCCTTCTTATTAATTACCCCTCAACTCAAAGAGAGAGAATTTGTCATTTTATGAACAGATCATATACCAATACAGTACAGTATAAATGTACGTATAGAGATAAAGAATAAATAAGGCAATTCTCTAGTTCATTCAGTTATTTTCAAATCATGTTTTTGGTTCTACCACAAATAAGTGAATAAAAATGTTTAATGACCAAAGTATTTGAGCAAAATTCACTGTGTGCCACCTGTCAGTAAATTTGGGTCAACTCTCTGATAAGGACAAGTGTATATAGCATTGTGGGATTGAGATTAAAACTAGTAAATACTTATATCTGAGATTTTCTTTATGATTGTGCTGGAAGATTTATTTTGAATCCGTTGTGAACACTTGCCGTGAGGTTTACATCCACCTCATTACCCAGTTTCGATTCTTCATCAGTAACTTCTTAAACTTTGAAAGCAGAGAGCATTCTGGTATGAGCATCACTGATAAAATAATACCTCTCAAAGTAGAATCTTTTGCAGCACACTGATTTGAAGCACATTTCTATTTTTCTCTTAGGGTGCACTCTATGGCAGTGACACAGTCGAAAAGGTATTGTAATGATTGTGGTGGACGCTGGCATGCTAGGGTGGCATAATATCAACTAGTTTGGTAAAGGATGCACACTAAAAATGATTTCAGTACATACTTTATACAGTTGGCTAAAATTTTCAGATCATAAATTTGTAATTCCTGCATACAGAAGAACTGTTGACAACACGATTGCATCCTTTACAAACTAATTGCTTCAAGCTATCCAACCAGACCTTCTATTAATATGCATGTTTCTGTATGTTGAGCTAAGTTTTTTTTTTTTTTTTTTGCCTTTACCTACCGAGTTATAATACAGTAATAGATCCCACCTTCTACCTCAGAAAAAGAAAACATCCAGTTACTGTGTATTATCAGTGAAAACTTTCGTCATGCCAGCTATACATTGATAACTGTTGTGAATATACCATAGAAAAATATATGTACTGTATGTAATTGCTTTATCAGAGCCAGTACATTGCATCTACTCCTCTCCTACTACCCTGACCGACCACCAGACGTTAAACCCATCCCACCTTCCTTGTCCCCTTACACAGAATGCTTCAAGTTCATCTGTTTATATATATAATTTAATTAATGGTATCTAATTTTTTCATTAAGAAATTAACTTCCCCCTCTTTTTAAACATGAAAAAATTATATGAAATGACAAGACAAAAATGTTGATAAAGACAAAATGGTGAAGTACCTGTATAGTTACCAGGTACTGTCTTCATCAGCTGCTTCCCCCAACAGTAAAATTAAGATTAAAATGAAATACATCTCTTGTTCATATATTCCATGATGAGTGACAGTTCATTAGTTAAGACAACTAACATAGGTGACAGTACAGTATAGTGCAGGTACTTAGGTTTGAATTTTGAACTTAAACATTTTTCCTGCTTTTCTTTGCTTTATGGATTGTTTTATTTTCAGTTGCATTTCATTGTTTTGCCTCCTTTTTTTTCTGGGATACATTACATTCATAGTCAATGAATTTTGTGTTAAAAGATAATCTCAATTTCTGGCAACAGTTATGATATTGGCAGGTCTTGGAGGTCATCATAGCCCTTTAATTGTTTTACTTGGGGGAAGTTTTTGAATATTTGTAAATTGCTGTACTGTACAGTACAATGAATCTAATTCAGCAAAATTATTGTGATTTAGATGTTGAAATTTAAAAATGTTTGATTGGACCCAATACAAATTATGAGAAATTTTTCTTATTACTAACAAATATTTTAATGAGTTTTGCATGTCAAATAATTAATCACTGCATGAAATATGAAAGTACTGTAATTGTAACTTAGGCAGTTGCCAGTTTAATGTGCATATTATATTAGAAATTTGATACTGTAGTTTGAAAACATTGATGTGTGTTGCTCATGTATTCAGATGTATATTCAAGCTTCTTGATGAAAAAAAATACATATATATATATATATATAGCTCCTCCCCGATTTACGACCTACTCGACTTACGTCCACACGCACTTACGACCTGCCTCAGTCGTACCAAAATTTGGTCAAATTACGTATTTTTGAGTCACAAAGTCAGTACACAGGCAAAATTTTCATCTGTAATTCACTTTAAAATGGCTGGCAAGCTTAAAAGTGAGTGCTTTGTGGTGCTGAGAAGAAAGAGAGACCCCCATTTTAGATTTTCTATGTGTTATTTAAGCATTTCCGACTTACGACCTGGATGTCGGTCCCTAACCCCATCGTAAGTCGGGGAGCAGCTGTATATATATAGAGCAGGTAACTGAAATGCTACTTACACAGAACACACAAATAGATCACATTATAAGTCTCCAATGTTAATTATATGAAGGTTCTTGTCTATCTCCTCCAAACTTAGATTAGGTCTAAATAGTAAGATGGGATTTAGCTATGTCTCAGAAAATTGTGTAGTGTATCTTGGCTCCTCTGTCAGATTTAAGGTGTGAAGTGATACATGTAGCCAGCGAGTCCCTGTCCTTTTCTCTAACTCGGTTTCATAGGAAGTGGGTCGGTTTTTTTTTGGGGGGGGGGGAATATTCCATAGCAATTTTACAAATATTTTACCTAACTTGTAAATAGCAAGGCAGCATATGAGTTAATTTCAAATATGCCTTAAGCCATGAGGCCTATGACGCTTCACACCTTGAATTTGGCAGAGGAGCCAAGATACACTACACAATTTTCTGAAAAGTAGCTAAATCCTGTTACTATCACTTAACTTGTCATTTTAATTCTCTCTTCTTTTGTATACTGCAATTTAAATTTTAAATTTCTAAAAAATATAAAGGCCTCCAATTCGGCTAATTTAGTGTGGTACTCTGGAAGACCAAAGTGTTGGGACTGGAACAACAGCCTTTGAATAAAAAGATATTTTGCTTTAAAAAAAATAATAATAAGTTCAAATGAATGTGTGTGGCACAGAAGCAACTAACAGTAGAGTATATATACAACACTGTAGTCCAACAGTGCACTATGTTAGTCATATTAAGTGGAAATGTAAACTCGTACCAGGAACCTATGAAGAGCTAGGCCAAGAACCTTTCAAGGGTAGGTTGGGAACATGTTACATTTGTTAACAACATGCCATAATTGGGCTTTAAGTTGAGAACCTTTAGTAAATACGCTGGGAACTTGTAATATGCCAGGCAGCTCAGAGCAACTGTCACGTTGTATGGTGCCAGGACTTGTCAATACAGTGTGTACTGTACTGTTAAGGTTAGGTTAGGTTAGGTAGGTGCTTAGTCATGTGGCTCCCTTGTGTGTTAGTGTACATACAGGGAACATTTTTGCCACAAACTGGAATTGGGTCTGGATTTGAGAAGCTAATCTGACATACTTCTTTGGGTTTAATTTGTGAAAAATCACTGATTTTTATATCACTTGTTTGACCAGCTTTGATTAATAGGGTAGAAGACAAAAAAGTTAATTATAACAAGAAAAATTTCTGTTTACAATGTATTACTTTTGCAATTGATCATTAATTATGACTTTGTTACTGACAGCTCAAGAAGTCGTTGAAGGATTCACAGGAGGCCAACCAACACCTGAGGGCTTACATAGATGGTATTCTTCTCAACATTGTGGAAAATTACCCGCAATTGTTGGAGGTGAAGCAGAAATAATAGCAAAGACCAAAGGATTTTATATTATAAGTTTTTTAAAATGTCTCAAATTTTAGTACTTTGAATGAATCATTACTGAAACCAATACATAATGTCTCAATAGAATAGTTTAAATCATGCTATGCAGTGTTTTCTCTCACATGTTCAATATTGTAAAGTCATTGCATTTCCCTTTTTTTCATTTTAATGGACTAAATGGAAGTCCGTTTTTCCTGTAATAGACAAAATAATTCTAAATACTGCCGTTTCACTTTTAAGTACAGTTTAAAATTTTAGGACAGTCGAGTTAATCTTCATTTTGTATTTATGGCGTGGAATACATGGGTGATAAAATATGAGAAGAGAAACCTCATGAATCTACAGTACAGGGGTATTGATTTTTCTCTCTCCAGAGAGTTGGGTTGAGGTTTGATGCCGACTGATATGTAAAATGCACTCGCATGGAAATAGATCATTATACTGTATATGGGTGTTATTTTGGCAGGTGGGATGAGGTTTAAAACTGGCAATATTTTACATATTCAGCATTGAAGAGTCATGTGCTGTAATGTATGTATATGGAAGAATAGTTTCCATCTAGTGAACGAACATTAAAATTCATAATAGAATGCAGATCATTTTTAAAGAGTACTTAATTTGAAGGTCTAGTTTCAGTCATAGGAATTTAAATGTTTTGTTAACAATTTCTGTTTTGAATAAGTTCAGTTTACTGGCAGGTCCTCAAGGACTTGTATACTTCACAGCTGTCAGTACAACCTGGAAGTGTGAGAAAATCTTAGTGATGAAAATTGTGATTGTGTAAGTAGCTTTGTGGTGGTCATGCCAAACTCCTATTATACAGTATTGGGAAAGGAACCAGTTTGGCTATCGATTCAAGGTAAACTTCACACCAATGTTTTTTGGTAGGATTTGATTTTGACAAAGTCATGTACACTCTTAATTACTCGTTATATATTTATATTGTTTATAGTTAAATTTTTCAAATTGTGTGGATACACGCAACAAATTAAAATGTTGATACTTATATTGGACAGCTACAACACATGTTGCTTTGCTGTGATATGTAGCGTTAATTTCAATATCTTTATGAGGATACGTCTTTCATATTGCGAGTGTAATTCAATATGAAAACCATTCAGTATTTCTCTTTAATCTCCAGTTGTGTGGAAGATATTCCCTCATAATTGATTCGAACATGTACAGATTTACAAAGTTTTATGTTGTATAAAGATGTTATTATAATGCAGTCATTGTCTTGATGAATTGAAGGCATAATTATTATCTTTTAACTCCTTTATGCATACTTTTTTAATCATATAATCAATTATTTGCTTAGGTTTTGCTGCAATCTTAAAGTCAACAACTTTGGTGTGTTACAATCTGTGATAACAACTACTTCTTGCACAAACCAATCACTAGAACATCTGTGCTTGAAGCTCTTGCCCCCTCAATCTGAAGGGTATTTTTACTTTAAGAAAATTCATATTGTTAAAGTTAGTTATAATGAAGTCCTTGTTAGCAGCAGGAAGCTGTTCAGGATCTCTAAATTTATATTACGGTGACTAGCAGTCTTGGTCACATTTATTTGCAATGTTATCAGTTAAGTGATCCATCACGTGTGGTGGTCTTTCCATAGTCACATTTTACGTGGAACCGTCCAGTCTTTATTTCATATTTATTCTTTCCAGTTTTATATCCAGGAGATGGAGCAGGTACTGTAGTCCTTCAGAAAAGATAATGTGAAAATGTTCCTGATTCATTGTCTTGTACATAATGTAAATAGGTAATGCGTTAACTACTGATGTACTCCCCTTAAAGATTGTACGTACTTGTGAAATGTGTAATAACCTTTTAAATGTCGATTCAAGTTTGTATGAAAGGAACGATTGAAACAATACATTTATTTTGTTGATGTGGAATTTTCATTATACCCGTATCATTAATATTAGTTATGCATTACAATAAAACCTTGCTAAGGTGGGCCCCAGTTAAGCCAGACAAAATTTGCCAAAAAATAATCCCCTAATCTCCCCCCCCCCAAAAAAAAAGTAGTACATAATTTGTCATATGATGACATGTCTGCCATTAACTAAAATTTCAAGGGAGCAAGGCGTCACACACTCCGTCATAAATTAGTGTCACCAGTGGTGGCGTCACTTTTTTTTTTTTTTTTTCATTTATTGGGCACCCCCCTACATCCTTGTGTAAGGTGTAGCACAGAAGCGTTTACAGTGCCAAACAGGGAAGCATGCCAAGTTCATGCTTGCCTTATGTCTCATGAGTTAAGGACGTAGAAGCCTGAAGAGTCGATGGTTTATGTCTTCAAGTTATTGGAAGCTCCAACAAATCCCTGAATACGAATTCGCAACTTTCGACTTACAACAGGTACCTACTTTGCTGCTTGGTGAACAGCGACCAAGGGGACTAGGAAGAGTGTCCAAACAACAACCGCCAGCCCAGGAATCGAACCCGTGGCATCTTGCTTGCGAGGCAAGAACGGTACCGCTCTACCACCAGCTCCCGTGGCTTCTGCTCTCACTCCGTTTTATTCCCATTTAGATGTGCTGTGAAACTTATTTGACATTGCCAGTAATGTGAGTGTTGTAGGCTGATGTAGAATACATATTTTTGCATTATTAGTGAAAAATTAGACAATAACTGTGGCCCCTAAGAAAGTGTTTGGTGTCAGTAAGGGTGGTGAGAAAGCTAAGCCATATCAGTGAACAAAAAGTTATAAGGTGATTGAAAAGCTAGAAAAAGGTGCTGCTCCCTCGCTAATCTGTGATGAATACGGAATTTCAAACCACTCGTGTCCACTCGGGTTTCTTAATGCATTTTTGCATCCCTATCCAACATTAGCAAGTGCTGGTTCAAAAGCTAATAAAAAGTGTATAAGCTTAGCCGAGAAACTATGTGTTAAAATGATGTGAAAAAAGTGAGAGGTCTGTGGATATTATATGGAGCAAACAATGAACATTTTCTGAAGTGGATCCATTAACAGCACGAAGCATTAAAATTAACAAGCTTCTTTTGACAACTTTATTATTCGAAGGCCTAGACAAGCAGCTTCAACAACAACTTCAGTTTCAGCAACAGCTTCAGCCAGAGTTGAACCTGATGACTTCGTCATCTGAGTAAAAACTCGCACAACATCATTGGCTGTCCTTATCTTTTAGCTTTCCCACTATTGGTGAGTAGAATTTTTGTTTTACATTCATAAGTATTATTTAAAACATATGAAAAGTAAATAAGTGTTGCTTTCATATTCTTATGGAGGGAAATGACGATATGTTTTCACATGTACGCACTTACATACGTTGGCGTTCCCAATCGTCAAGCTTTATTTCTTTACCATTAGTATTTAGCTACTTCTATTATTCCATTTATTAACATTAAATAACTTTACTTAAAACATACATGCAGGTATTCATTTTTTTACATTAAGTTCACTACAGCTGTAACTAGGGTCTTATTTTCTTCAGTTTCTTATGTAGAACCATCGTCACTCACAAAAACAATGCAGTCTTGTCTCCTCTTGTGTGTTTTAATATTCTACGTATTATTTATGAATTGCATTGTTCATTTCACACGAATAAACATTAATTCAATCAAAAACATATTCAGTAATAAACAATAATGAATCTTTTGTACATATTCTCAAGATAAATGACTGTTTCCTTGAGTGTGCACATATACTGTACATTGACGTTCCACTATCGGTCTCACCTTTTTTCTTTAATATCAGTGGTTACTTCTACTGTACATTAAATAATATTAATTAAAACATACATATTTTTTCCATTAATTTTACTACAACAATAACCAGTGTCTTATTTTCTTCAGTTTCAGGTGGACAACTGACATTATGGGTGTAAACGCTGACAACAATGCCGTCTTTTATCCTCTTGTGTGTTTTAATATTCTACGTATCATTAATGAATTGTATTGTTCATTTCACATATATAAAGATTAATTCAATCAAATACATATTCAGTAATAAACAATAATGAATCTTTTGTACGTATTCTTAAGATAAATGACGCTGTTTCCTTAAATGCTCACGTATATTTTGGCGTTCCCAATCCATCTCACTTTTTTCTTTGCCATTTAGTGGTTAGCTACTTCTATTGTTCCATTTATTAAAATTAAATAACATTACTTAAAACATATACAGTAAACCCTCGAAGATCCGGACCCGGGAAATCCGGATTTTGGAAGATCCGGACAAAAATTTGGGGTTCTGGACTAAGAAGCCTCCTAGAGGTTTCCCTAATTAGTATTCCGAAACCAGAGCAAAGAACATTTTAGGCCCCCGGGCGCTGCTTGACCCGCCAGTTGCTTAGACACAGGTGCCCGAGGAGGTGGGAAACATAAACAGAGTTGACAATTGTTGTTTGTGGGAATATTATATCATTCACTCTAGTAATGATACAATGTTTCTTATTATGTTATCACAGGTAAATGCTTGGTTTATATATGGTAATTTGTTTATCACTACATTAATACTGTATTTTTGGTGTTTCTTATATCATTTATTATTCGCCGGAAAATCTGGACAATCGGCTTTTCCGGACAGGTGGTCCCCCCCTTTAGTCCGGATCTTCAAGGGTTCACTGTATATTCATTTTTTTACATTAATTTTACTACAGCTACAACCAGGGTCTTATTTTCTTATGTAGAACCATCGTTCCGGACTACCTGCTGTAAACACTAACAAAAACAATGGCATCCCATCTCCTCATGTGTGACCATATTATTATTCATTAATATTGTATAAGGTGTATTCATAAACATTATTTAAAGAATATAGTTTGCATTTTTCATAATTTTATTGTTTAGGGGGAAAAAGAGGGTAAAAAGCCACACATAAGATATGAAAAAGGTCACACTTGGGAACACATCTCATTTTTATTGCTTTATTTTAATGGTAATTAATGATTCACAATAAAATGATTCACCTTACACTGCAATACTGGAGGACACATTAATGTCGTTATTCGAGGCTTTACTGTATTTTGTATGGTTATTGAATATTTCTACACTCTTGCTACCATCTGATGAAACCCCTTCCTACAACAATCACACCAGGCATACCATAAAAGTATATGTTCACTTGAAAAACCATAGGTGAGTAATTAACATTGCAAAAGTAATTAAAAATATTCTGAGTCATATGATAATACAGTATGGAAAAATAATTACAGTACGTGTATACAGATATTTACGATAACCCTCGAAAGATCCAGACTAAAGGGGGGACCACCTGTCCGAAAAAGCCAATTGTCCGTATCTTCTGGCGAGTGTACTAAATGTATCAAAACGATAAATAATGATATAAAAAACAAAAGTACAGTACTGTACCATATTTTACAGCATGTAAGTATGGGTGCAATACAGTATATATCTTATAGTCTAGTTTGAAAATGGTGATGGGCACAGTGACAAACAAATTATATAAACCAAGCATTTACCTGTGATAACATAATAAGAAACATTGTATCATTACTAGAGTGAAGGAATTAATATTCTCACAAACAATAATTGACAACTCTGTTTATGTTTCCTGCCCCGGGCACCTGTGTCCTGCTCGCTGACATCTTAGTTACACGGGCCTAAAGATGATCTTTGCTCTGTTTCGGGAATGCTTCATAGGGAGGCTTCTTTGCCCCTGGAACCCCCCAAAATTTTTCCGAATCTTTCGAAAGTACAGTATATACAGTACAAAGGCACAGGATGTGGCACCAATGAGTAGTACTATACAAGGCAGGGACTGGCACAGCGAGCTATTCCTATAGTGAAGGCCCAAGGCCTCGACGAAGAGGCTCAGCAAGTAAAATTTTTACATTTTACATAATTTTTTTATCATTCTGAGTCGATGTCTGCAAGAATTTTCTTATTTTTTAGCAGGCGCTGACGTGTACTTTAATATGGTGATGTACTGGTTAATCAGCATGTAAAAGTGTACATCTATATGAAATTTGAACAAAATCTACTTCATGACCTCATGTGCCGAAAGGCGTTTTGATTGCGACTAACAACTTTTTCCTGGAAAGTGAAAATTAACGTGTGCTTAAATGGTAAAGTTAGTCTTTATTCTTGATTTTTATTCTATTTTTTAAAGGGGTGGTTTAAAGCTTACTGTAACAGCGTAACTGACCTTTTAAATATTCTACCAATCATCTAATTCTTTTAAAAGATCATTAATTAACACTAATTACTCGGATTTTAATTTTTTAACCCAGATCCTTAATCAGCATGTAAAGTAGTACCTTTGTGTGAAATTTGAAAACAATACATGGTATGACCCCAAGTGCCAAAAACCAGGCCTCTTTTTGGCGTCAAATTAAATTTTTGGGAAAGTGAAAAATAACGTGTTTATACAGTGAAGATAGTCTACATTTTAAAGAAAATGTATATAAGGGCAATTTAAAACTTACGGGCACAGCGTAATTGACTTTAAGCATCTAAGTATTTCAAAGGTCATTAACACTAATTACTCGATTTTTTAATTGTGAACCCAGATTCTTAATCAGCATGTAAAGTAGTACTTTTGTATTAACATTAAACAAAATCTATTTTATGACCACAAGTGCCGAAAACTAAGGTATAAGGTCAGGGACTGTCTTGTACTGTCAACAACCACCTACGTCAACAGTCATTAACAGATCCATCACAAGTCACAAAATACTTTAATTTTACTAAACAATAACTTTTTCCACGCCCAAGGGCTGGCCAGAACATGCTACAGCTTGGCTCACCTGCCTAACGTGTTCTTCTTCATCGCGTCCGGTCCAAAGTGTCATAGTCGCCGCACACAAGAGATCAGCGTTCTGCAACAGGGTGTGGGTATAAATAAAATGGTACAAGTATAAATGACTACTGTACCACGAGCAATGTCAACTAAGCCATTTA